AAGTCGGGACCACGAGGGATGCACCCACCCACTGAGACAGTGGAGCTGATCTATTGAGAGCTCACCAAGACCAGCTGGACTGTGACTGAAAAAGCATGGGATAAAACTGGACTCTCTGAACATGGCGAACAATGAGGGCTGATGAGACGCAAAGGACAATGGCACGGGGGTTTGATCCTACGTAATGTGATGGCTTTGTGGGAGCCTAGCCAGTTTCGATGTTCACCTTCCTAGATATGGACGGAGGTGGGAGGTCCTAGGTCTTACCACAGGGCAGAAAACCCTGACTGCTCTTTGGACTGGAGAGGGAAGGGGAAAGGAGTGGGGGGAGGGGGAGAAAGGTGGGAGGAGGGGGCGTAGGGTGGGAGGAGGGGGAGGGAAATGAGAGGCTGGGAGGAGGTGGAAACTTGTTTTTTTTTGTTTTTTTCTCTCCTTTTCTCAATTAAAAAAAAAGAAAAAAAGATTGTAGTCATATTAGTCAGATTTTCTAGATGTATGAAGATATATTTCAATTAGATAGGTAGTCTTCAACACTTTCAGAGACCTTCAGAACATGGCATTTAAAAATGTTTAAGAATTTAGGACTTTTCATGGTAATGAGACACATCTGCTCCTGGCAGCATCAGTTACTTCAAAAGGAAGATGAGCATTGAAGAGGCTTCTTAGCCATTTGGGCAAGAAACTGCTCTTGCCTGGACTGCTTAACTGGATATGCAGGACACACAGAGAAATGACTACTGAACTTGCCTAAAGATGAGATGATCCTTCAGGAAAGTCTGCCAGACATTCTGCAGGATACAGAAAAAAGTGACTGAACTGTCTTTGAATTTCCTGCTTCATGGAAAAGTCTTCTGGATACTATGGACCTGTAGGCCGAAGATGGATGTCCCAACAGTACAAAACAACTTTGGATGACTGTCCAGGCAGCGAGATGTCTCTGTCATTTCTAGAGTTTTGGAAGTTGCTTACAATGCACTTCCTGTTTACTTAGGTAATATTATATCCTTCTGGAGTTTTTGATGGTGTTGAAGAATAGATAGTTATAGTTTTCCTTAGTTAGGATAAAAGATAAAGTAGAAATAAATATTGTAAATAACTGTAATTCTTCCTTGATACCTGTTTTGTTATACGTAATTTTACTATGTTAAAGTTAAAGCCTTCCTTTTTATTCAAACAGAAAGGGAGAGGTGAACTGGGAGTCTCCTCTGTGTGCTAAGATTACTATTAATTAATAAAGAAACTGCCTTGGCCTGTTGATAGGGAAGAACTTAGGTAGGCAGGAAACACAGAACTGAGTGCTGGGAGGAAGAAGGGTGGAGTCAGAAAGACACCATGGACCTTCTGCCACCAGAGATAGATGTGCTGAAACTTTGCTGGTAGGCTACTACCTTGTGGTGATGCACAGATTAATTGAGATGGGTTAAATTAAGATGTAGAAGTTAGCCAATAAGAAGTTAGAGTTAATGGTTCAAGCAGTGATTTAATTAATACAGGTTCTGTGTGGTCATTTTGGCTCTGGGCAGCTGGGACAAACAAGTGGCCCCTTGTAATAGCTAATGACATTCTGCTATACATATATATCTGTCTTACTCAGTCATCATCAGAGAAACTTCTGTCTGCAGTGGATGGGAACAAATAAAGAACTCACAACTGTACAGTGTACACAGAGTAAGAAGCCTTGGAATACACAGTCCTAAAAGGGATGTCTTTATCAAACCTCTCCACTCAGGGCTCAAGGAATATGTTGAAGAGGAGGCGGAGAGATTGTGAGAGCCACAAGGGAGGGAGGACGCCAAGGAAACAGTGACTTCAAGATACAACAACTGACAGACATATGATCTCACAGAGGCTGTGGCAGCATGGACAGGACCTATACAAACTCCCAGTCAGATATGAATCCATCACTGAGAGGACAAAGTGGACATGATCACCCACCCCTAATGAAGAAACTATCTCCAACTGACAACAGCTTGCAACGGAAAAATTAGTTTTCTCCAATACAGTCTCATTGGGTATATAGACCATGTTTGAGGACAGGCCCCATGCCCAGCAGTAGACAGCCAACACTAAATTGGTGTGGGAAGTCCTTCTACATATGTGTTGCTCTTATTGGTTAATAAAGAAGCTGCTTTCGACAATGGCTTAACAGAGTATAGCCAGGGAGAGAGGGAGAGAGAGAGAGAGAGAGAGAGAGAGAGAGAGAGAGAGAGAGAAGCCACCCATAGGAGACAGGCACTGCACTAGAACCTTGCCAGTAAGCCACAATCACATGGTGATACACAGATTAATAGAAATGGGTAAATTTAAGATATAAGAGTTAGCCAGAAATATGCTTAAGCTATTGGCCAAACACTATTACAAATACTATGTTTCTGTATGATTATTTCAGGTCTGAGCTGCAGGTAATGAATGAACAGCCTCCCTCAACAAATCGGCATGCCAACATGGTTGACTATATCCACATAAAACCTGAGAAAGCTTAAAAGGAATTCTAGACACAAAATAGAGTTAAGCATGGCATTTTGTAGTAGCATTTTCTTGGGTGGACTCTGTTTGCTAGAAGGAAGCTGAGGCATGATTCTTTTCGGAGAAGGCTTCCTGACTCAGCAGTAGCAGCAAAACCTGCATGGCTTCTTTAAAAAGGCTTCCTGGTTTGTGCTAGTTGCAAGAAAAGCTCTGACTCTTTTGGGAGGTCTGGCTACAGAGAATTTAAATGGGGTTTGTGGGCAGAGTACTATAACGTGCTTAATGGCAACAGAGAACTACTGTAACCTGACCCTGGATCTGGGGCAGAGAGAATGGCTTCAGAGGAGTGAGCATGCCTCTGCCATGTTGGACTGGGCAGAGCCAACAAGCAGTGCCAAGGAGTTGGTCCTAGCCACACCTGCTATTTGTAATTTTTCTATGTTAAAGTTAAAACCTTCCTTTTTATTTAGACAGAAAAAGGGAGGTGATGTATGCTGTGGATATGTTTTATTGCCATTGGTTAATAAAGAGGCTGCTTTTGGCCATTGGATTAACAGAATATAGCCAGGCTGGAAGATATATATCGAGAGAGAGAGAGAGAGAGAGAGAGAGAGAGAGAGAGAGAGAGAGAGACCATTTTTCTTAGGAAGAATTTAGGTTTTAAAAGTCATAAATATGAAACAGTGTTCATAACAGAAAAGTAGCCATGAAAGAGTAATGTGGATAATGCATGTATGCTACACATGCATTCTACCTACTGAGCTACAGCTTTAGAACCTTGGGGTAGTATTTTAATCCAATTCTCAAAGTTAAGTAGCAGCAGAACAGGAATGGAAATTCAAATATGTTTATTTAATCCAGGTCATCTTCCCAATTAATTGTGTTTCTAAAATCAGACTAGTGATAAAATCAGCTCTAAGTGACATAACGTACCTTCATAAGGAAATGTAGAAAAAAAGAGACTTGTATATACTATTAGTGGAATATAGATTGCATGGCCATCTTGGAAAACAGAATAATAGTTCCTCAAAATCTTAAACTACTATTTGACTGAGTAATTTCACTATGAGTTATACATTCCAAGGAAATGAAAATATTATTTTAAAGAGACATAGGTACTTTCACACTGATTGAATATTCAGGAGAGCCATGAAATAGAAACAACTTTGGTGTCTATCAACCATTGATCAGAAGAAGACCTGTTTATCAACCAATGATTAGAAGAAGACCATGTACTACATACAAAATACTATTTATTCCACCCAAAGAATAAAATTCTATTGTTTATCACAAGATGGGTGGAATACAAAATAATAAGTGAAATAAGCTAGGCAGAGAAAGTCAGGTACTGTATAATATCAGTTATATATGCAAATTGAGGATAGAAAAATGGTTATCAGAGACTGAATAAGATTGAGTTACAGAAAAGGTTGATAAATTAGTATTAAATAACAGTAAGGCTGGAGCAAGAATTTCTGGTGTGCTATAGAACAAAGAAGTAACTATAGCAACAGTAATGTATTATTTACTTATTTTTTCTTTTCTTTCTTTTTTTATATACCTTTTTTTCCATTTATTTATTTATTAAAGATTTCTGTCTCTTCCCCGCCACCGCCTCCCATTTCCCTCCCCCTCCCCCAATCTAGTCCCCCTCCCTCATCAGCCCAAAGAGCAATCAGGGCTCCCTGCCCTGTGGGAAGTCAAGGACCACCCACCTCCATCCAGGTCTAGTAAGGTGAGCATCCAAACTGCCTAGGCTCCCACAAAGCCAGTACATGCAGTAGGATCAGAAACCCATTGCCATTGTTCTCGAGTTCTCAGTAGTCCTCATTGTCCGCTATGTTCAGCAAGTCCGGTTTTATCCCAGGCTTTTTCAGACCCAGGCCAGCTGGCCTTGGTGAGTTCCCAATAGAACATGCCCATTGTCTAAACACTAAAAGGGTTTTCCAATTTTAGATCATTAATATATCAATGTTTGTGTATATATATATATATATATATATATATATATATATGGACATTGATTTAAACATTAAACAATTCATGTAGCAGTATCATACTATCCAAATACTATGTACTTTTAAAGTTTAATGTTATTAATAAGAGCATTAGGAAACATGTAGAAACAGGCTCTAGATTCTACATGTGTGATCCAATAAAATAATTAGAATTCCAAAGTACACTAGGTGCTAGGTAACATTATCCTCTAAAACATTCCCCAGAATCCTTGGGCAGAGCAGTAGCAAGCTGCCTGCCTGCTTCCTTCCCTCTGTACTCACACAAGGTAAGAGATTTATATTCATAAAGCCATTACATTTTGAAAGCAAGTCATTTGTTGCTTTGAGACAGGTTCCCACTATGTAACTCAGGCTGACCTGGAATTTACTCCATAGACAGGTTAGTCTTGACTTCATAGAAATCTTCCTTCAGTTCCCAAGCACTAGGAAGCTGAGTGATTGGATTAAAAGTATGTGCCACTACAGCCAGATCAAGTCATTTTAAGAAACCATTTTAAGTAAAGAAATGATTCTTACCTGTGGTGTTGTTAGGGTTGTAGTGCTACTCATTGTATCTTCCATTTGTTGTGTTTGAACATCCAATGTTTCAAATTGATGTTCGAATTTGTCCATTAAGGCAGAAATCTATAAAGATATGATCATAAGAAAAATGTACCGTGAAAGGATGCTATCTGAACATCAAGTAATAATGATAATTGTTTGTTTTTACCTTTTCAAGGTTCATACTCCTCAATGTAGCATCCATAGATTTAACTACACCTGCCATGGATTTTGTCACCTATTTAGAAAATAAAACTGATTTAGTAACATGAAAATTTTATAAATTTTTAAATATATTATCTCTATGTCAACTTAGGAAACTTGTCTATTACTGTCTTTTTTTAAATTTATTTATTTATTAAAGATTACTGCCTCCTCCCCGCCACCGCCTCCCATTTCCCTCCCCCTCCCCCAATCAAGTCCCCCTCCCTCATCAACTAGAAGAGCAATCAGGGTTCCCTGACCTGTGGGAAGTCCAAGGACCACCCACCTCCATCCAGGTCTAGTAAGGTGAGCATCCAAACTGCCTAGGCTCCCCCAAAGCCAGTACATCCAGTAGGATCAGAAACCCACTGCCATTGTTCTGGACTTCTCAGCAGTCCTCATTGTCTGCTATGTTCAGCAAGTCCGGTTTTATCCCAGGCTTTTTCGGACCCAGGCCAGCTGGCCTTAGTGGGTTCCCGATAGAACATCCCCATTGTCTCAGTGTGTGGGTGCACCCCTCGTGGTCCTGAGTTCCTTGTTCTTGCTACCTCTCCTTCTGCTCCTGATTTGGACCATGAGATTTCTATTACTGTCTTTAACAGTAAAATCACATTCTGTGTCTAGGTCTAGGAACTGTCTATTTTAGATTATTGATACTTCTTAGTATTCAGCAAATAAAAGAGTTGATAAGTCCTCTGCCAAAATCTTTTTCCTTACTAAGTCTAATTTTCCATGAAGTCCTTTATTAACACCATATAATACCTTGCAATACTCAAATTTGCTATTTTTGTAAGTCTTCCTACTCTCATTAAATACCAGTCAAGTCTTACCTTGCCCATTGTTACTGCAGTTTGAACTCTGGCTGCCACAGCATCAACCCTAGCACTCATTCTCAAGAAATTGATTGCCTGGTTTTTCTGACGGATTGCATTTTCAGCATGAATTCTTGCAACTTCTGTATTGCCTTTCTGAATGGCCTGTTTTAAGCAGAAGTAAAATAGTGTTGAAGAAAAATAGCAAACCAAGATACTTGTGAAGTCAAAGAGCAAAAGTATAGCTATTTTTAAAAATTAAATGCTACTAAATTAACTATAGTCTATAAGAGGTTGTAATTAGCCTTTTGGCAGCTAATTATTATAGTAGCTAAATAATAATTTACAATCCTATTCTCTTTTAATCTCATGATTAGAAAATACACATGTATTAATAGTTTAAGAAATTGGAAAATGCTGGACATGGCACATGCTTTTAATCCTAGCATTTGGGATGCAGAGGAAAGCTAATTCTGAGTTTGAGACCAGCCTTGTCTACATAGCAAGTTCCAGGCAAGCCAGGGCTACACAGTGAGACTTTGCCTAAAAAGTACAATAGAAAGAAACTAAAAGGTAAAATTGTTCCTAGTTATATTATGATGCTATTTTCATTGTTATTATTTTAGTACAAATGATCTTAATATATAAATACATTTATTACTGTATAGTTTATAACCAAAGCAAACACATAGAATATAGTTTCAAATCTTGTTTTCTTTCATGCTAAAAATATCACTTTAAGCTAAAAGCATACTTATCTACATCATTGTTTCCTAAGGGTTGCATCATACAAAGGTCACTGTAGTAAAAGAATTATTAGTCATACATAAAATTATTCTAGAAGTTACACAGACATTAGGTAGTTTCTATATGATTTTACTGAATAGGCATATGAAAGTGCTGTGTAACAGGAATCCAGCCTTTTCCTGGTATAACAATCAGATCAGGTATACAGCTAAAAGAAAATTAATTTAAAGAAAAAAGCATTAAATAAATAGTTCAGGAAAAAAACAAAGTGAAATATTAGAGAAACTACAGAAATTCAAGAGTGAGATCCTAATTTTTCAATAAAATAAATAGCAATTTAAAAACTCTCCTAGTATATATAACTTTACACACTTTCCAAATGCTTCTATAAGACAAATACCTGGATATTGATTACTGGATGTAGATGTATATTTAAATTTAATTAGATTCCCTATGATGCTTATAATAAGTTTCGCCTTCCAGAATAGTGCTATTGCTTTATTCACAGGTAATCAACATAGGCATATTATTATTGTAGTCCATTATGATCTAAGAAGTAAAATGTAGTATCTCTCCATGAGATGGAACGCATATCTCACATTGCTTGGGTAACCAAGAACCTGAGAATAGATAGGCCGATGACCTAGGAGAAAACCAAATACTACTAGAGGAATGTAGCAATAAAATGTCTGCCAATAATATTCTGCTATAATCATTAATCAGTGCCTTGCCCAGCTGATGGAGGAAGGTCATTGGCTAATAAAGGAACTGCCTTGGCCCATTTTATTGGTTAGAAGATAGGTGGGAGGAGTAAACAGAACAGAACGCTGGGAGGAAGAGGAAGTGAGGTCAGACTCAACAGCTCTCCTCTTGGGAGCAGACGCCTCAGAGAGACGCCATGCCCCACTCCCGGGATGAAGCTCCGACCCAGGACGGACATAGGCTAGAATCTTCCCGGTAAGACCGGTTCTCACATATTATTAGAGATGGGTTGATCAGGATGTCAGAATTAGCCTGTAAGTGCTAGAGCTAAAGGGCCAAGCAGTGTTTAAAAGAATACAATGTCCGTGTAATTATTTTGGGGCATAAGCTAACCAGGTTGCTGGGGTGCTGGGGATGCAGCCCCGCCGCTCTTATTACTACACCCAGCCATCATTAGAGAAGCTTCTTCCTGCTGCGGATGGGAACAAATACAAAGACCCACAGCCAGATATTATTTAGTGTGACAGATTTTGGAATACTTGGCCCTAAACACAATGTCTCCATCAAATCTCTCTAGCGCTTAGAGAATCCCACACAAGAGGATGTAGAAAGCGTGTAAGAGCCATACGAAATGCTGGACACCAAAGAAACAAGGCCTTCTAAACACAATAGGACTGACTTACATATGAACTCACAGAGACTGTGGCAGCAAATACAAGGTCTGCATGGGTCTGTACCAGATGGGGTCCTAGAGCAGACAGAAGTAGACAGCCCCCCACCAGGTCCAATCAGAACTTAGTGCCAATTGATATCCACTTGCAAATGAAAAATTTGTAATCTCCAAGGGAATCTCATTGGGGAAAGAAAAACACTCTTAAGGGAGGGTGGGCTGTTAGGAATCCGGTTCTTGAATTTTCAGACCCCAATCGGGACATTTACCATAGTGAGAGTGACATGAGTGAACATGTAAAATATAAAATGGTTCCTATCTTAGCTATAGAAAAAGAAACCAGTCATGTGGATATAAAGCACAGAAGGTGGAAAACCAGCAGTGAGAAGACTCTGTATAACAGGTTACTACTAACACACCAGGACCATCAAGACAACTGAAGACTACAAAAGGAGAAATCAGAAATTAAAAGTTCAGTAATAAATCGGATATGGCTTTGGAGCCATTTTAAAACCCTGACTTTTTACTTAGAGATAAGTAAAGACAGAAGAGATAAAGATATAGTTCTGAGCGGAGCACTGACATGCTATGACTTCTCTTAAAACACTTCCTCCGGCTGCTGGGTTAAGATTACTTTTATGGGGTCGAGGGGTGGAGCTCTGTAGTTCAGTGGTAGAGTCCTTATCTAACAGAAGTAATGTTTATTGGGCTTGATTCCTAGCACTGGGGAAAAAAAAAACACCTCTAAAACAAAAGCATTATGGGAACAGGGTCAAAACAAAGAGGCTAATTGGAAGCTTGTTTGTAATAAGTGAGGTTAAGATAACCTGGGTGGGGATATTGTCTGGGTGGGGATGGGTACACTGGACTTGGTAAGAAGTGATCCAATTTTAAATACCTTTGAAAGATTTTGCAAGACTCAGATGTAGTGTATAAAACAAGAGGTTAAACATAATGCCAGTCTACGACTATTTGCTTTGTCTAAAAGGCACACTAGGAATGACAGTTACACCAGGAATGCTGTACTGAAGGATGTCCAATAAGGAACCCTGTTTCAAGTTTGACCATCCAAGTAGAAAGAATAAAGCAGCTGAAAACAGGAGTGTTCAGGTCAGATATACAGGCTAAGCTAGAATTATCTATCACCATGCAAATAAAGCTAGAATACTAGATTAACTCACTTCTGGAGTCAGTATAGGTTGGAAATCACAAAAGAAAACAGTAGTAAAATGTGCTTGGATGGGCTGTGGTAAGTATGGTTTCCTAAAAGCCAAAGCACAGAAGTGTTTGAAGGAAGGAGTACTGAACACTGACAAGAACTACTGATGGTTCTAATAAAATATGGATTCAGAACTGATTGGACTGAACAGTATAAACATCTTTAGTTTCTATTGAGGTAGAGGTCTAAGTGTAAATGAATAAGAAAACAAAAAATAACAAAAATTGAAGTGGAAAGAATTAGAGTTAACAAAATTAGGGGGCTATTTGAAAGGGTTTTGCAAATAATGAAAACAAAGCAAGGAAAGTATTGGTGACAGAAACTGGTTGCCAATTGTTTGCCTCATAGAAAAACCAAATAAACAAAACATCTCCCTCACCCCCAAAACAACCCTCATGCAAACAACAGCAAAAACCACAAGAGTACCGAGAGACAGAAGAGGCTCTCACACAAAAGCTTCAAAAGATTTAAATAAATATGGTTGTGTGCTAACACAATGTATTCGGCACACAGGAGAAAACTGTTAATGTAAAACAGAGTGCTATCTGAGTAATGCTACCTGGAACAGGCCTTAGCAGAAAAGAGAAGACTCTTAATTCTCAGAATCATAGTCGGTTTATCTATTTTTAAAGGAGGAAAAAGACAGACTATGGCAACCGAAGCAGCTATCTATAGTGATCAAATATTTCTTAATGAATTAGAAAGGAAGAGCATCAGTCAAATTTGAGAATGAGAAAGGGGGGACCAAAGGTTACAAAGAAAGAGGGCACGATGTTACTGAAGTGAAAGTTAGAAAAATGGATTAAAAAAATGATCCATTGTCATATCATGGTGATTCTCTTAAGTCTTTTCACATCTAATAATTTGGAAAGATGTAAAAAAAAATCAGGCATATTTTTATGTAGCATTTTTACTGCTAAAATCTATCCTAAGGATAGAACTCCACAAAGGTTTATATGCAATAATGAAGTATTTAAAATGTCAGAAGAGCTGGGTAGTGGAGGCATGTATTTTTAATCCCAGCACTTAGGAGGCAGAAGCAGGCAGATCTCTGTGAGTTCAAGGCTAGCCTGGTCAATAAAACAAGTTCCAGGACAGTCAAAGTTATACAGAGAACCCACGTCTCAAATTAACAAACAAACAAAAACAAAACAAAAAACTTTGCCAGGCAGAGGCAGGTGGACCTCTGAATTCAAGGCCAACCTGATCTACAGAGTGAGTTCTAGGACAACCAGGGTTGTTACACAGAGACCCTGACTTGAAAAAAACAAAAACAAAAATAGAAAACAACCCAAGGCAAAATATAGAATTCAAAACTATCTGCTGAATATGACCAGCAGGAAGAAAATAATAATTTTAGTAAGAACAATTTTAGTGGAGTAGAAATGAAGGCCTGGTTACATCAAGTTGAGCTATGAGTAAGAAAGAATATGAAGATATATGTCCTCTTGACTAAAGTTCTGCCCTCTGCTCCAGACTTGTGTGTTTTCTTATGAACGTATTGTTTCTACTTAACTCACTTCTCAATTCTCCCTAGTTAAATACTTAATTTGAACTTTTTGTATACACAGAACATTACCTGGTTCTGATCCATTATTCTTTTATTTCAGTAAAGAACTCATGCTCTTGAAAAAGCCAGAAGCCAGAGTCACTGTTCCTTAATGTTTCAGCTTACTTGTTGTCCACAACTAGTCTACATGCAAAATATATCCTGAACTCAACTAGGTCTTACCACTTCTGTCACTCATACCCTAAAATCAGACCACATCATTTTTTGTCTGCCTTTTCAGCTGCTGCCACTCTTGCCCTACCTCTCAGCTAGTTTAT